GGGACACGGGGACACGGGGACACGGGGGGCTGCAGGGACACGGGGACAGGGGGACACGGGGGGCTGCAGGGACAGGGGGACACGGCAGTCGGAGACTCGAGCGGGGGGCCGTGGGGAGCCCGGTCCCGGGGGTTCGGGCCGGGCTGTCCCGGGACTGTGGCCACCCGAGGGTGACCGGGGCCGGTCCCGGTCCCTCCCGGCGGGGCGGCCGCTGGGGCCCGAGGCGGGACGGGTACAGGAACGGGCGCACCGGTACCGGCAGCGACCCCGACCCCGCGGCACCGGGACCATGGGGAGTCCCGGCCGCCGCCGCTTTCGCTTTCGCTTTGCGAGGGGCGCAGCGGGCTCGGAGCCGCGGGGGCCGCGGGGCTCGGGATCCCCGGTGCCGGTGCCGCTGCCGGTGCCGGTGCCGGTGCCGGTGCCGGTGCCGGTGCTCTCCCTGCCGAACGGAGGGACGCGACCCCCGGGGGTGGTGGGCGGTGGTCCGCGCGGGACTTTCCGTGTCCCCGCGTGTCCCTGAGTGGCCCCGCGTGTCCCGGCCCCGCGTGTCGCCGTCTCCCCCGCCTATCCGCCGGTCCCGGTGTCCCCGTGCGCGCTCTGCCCCGCAGAGCTCGTGTGCCCCGGTCGCCATCCTCGGCTGGCCCCGTGCCCACGTCCCCGCGCTCTCCCGTGCCGTGGGCCGTGTGTGTCCCTCTCGCAGTGCCATCGTCCCCGCGGTGCCCGTGTGCCCGTGGCATCTCCGTGTCCCCTTGGCCCACACCCCCGCTGTCCCCACAGCACCCCCTGTCCCCAGGTGTCCCCACCTTGTCCCCGGTGTCCCACACATCCCTGTGTCCCAAATCCTGTCCCCAGAGTGGCCCTGTGCCCCACACGTTGTCCCCGTGTCCCCACATGGCCCTGTGCCCCAGCTGCTGTCCCATGTCCCCAACCCCGGTGACATTTGGGCCCCATGGCGCAGCACCTCCCCCCCCCATCCATCCCAGTCCGACCAGTCCAGGCTGTGACAAAACCAGTTTAAATAGAGGGGGGGGAGGAGCACGGGGGGGACAGGGGGGCTCAGCCCTTCCCGGACATCTTGTCCTTGTCCTGGTCCTTGTCCTTGTCCCTGTCCTGTTCCTTTTCCCTGTCCTGGTCC